TATATTGGAGTACAATTGATAAGCAAGCATTTCTGTATATTTAGACTTGCTTTTTAAGCAAATCTACATCAGAAGTCTGCAAATAAATACTGTCTGCAAATAAATACTGGGACAAACTATAGCTTCTTAATTTGAAATGAAATGCAAAGTTCAAATTTTATATTCTAGTACAAAGAAAAAGATTATTTCATCTTCTTGATAATTTCTTGCATTTTTATGCATATTAGTTAAGTTTAAGATGATTTTTTTGAGAAAAATAGTTTTTTAGGAGTTGGTAAAAATGAATCAAAACCACCGTCCCGGAAATATTTGTGAGTACTTTTCTCATGAAAGATGTATCATAACATATCCAAAAAGACATGAGAAAATAAATAAGCTTCCCAGAATTGTATTCACACGTGACATAACCAATTCTGTCTTAAAATATACATTATGATACCGCCAGAAAAGTTTTCTAACACATCAGGGACTGAAATGGCAAATGAAAATTATATTCTTTACATGAAAAGTCATGCAAAGAAAAACTACTGATAAAAATGTTTCTGAAATTTGAAAATGGTAAACAGAAATGTATTGTCACTGCCAAAAGTATGTCTGCAGGATTCTAAAAATGCTAATTTAGATATGCTTTCTGTGCATCCTGTACATACTATTCTACTTAAAATTAATGTATACTTCTTTTAAAAGGTGGCATGCTTCTGACCAGTGAACAAGACTGCCAGGTTTTCCCAGGATACAGCATTAGGTCTTTTTCCAGTGCCATTCTTTTCACCTATTAGCTTTTTTTTAGTTGGAGTTTTCGCCATTTTTTGCATTCATCATGGCAGCCCCTAATGTAAGTTACTGACTTTTATGATGTCACGATGCCTGGTACCTATCACCTGGTAACTTTATTTGCTTAGATATCAGCTATATTGAAAAGCAGTGGAATTTAAAAAAAATCAACAAAAAAAGGCCAAACAACACAAAAGAAAAACAAAAAACAACAACAAAAAAACCCAAACCAAACAAACAACAAAAAAAAATAAACAAAGAAAAGGCTTGATTGCATGTTGTAGGTCCTGCATATTACTTTTCTCAAATCTAAACTGTTTGGGACTTGACTGGGACAACCACCATGTTAATTTGGCCAGTAGTCCATAAGTAGCAAGTGGGAGATTTTATGAGTTTCATATATTGATAAGTACTTTGCCTCTGACATTGACTGCTTATTGCTATAAAAAATTACAGTAGCTCTCAAAGTCAATGTTCTGGTGGTCTTCATTTTTTTGTACAAGCAGACAAAGACAGTAAATATCTGCAAATACACTACTTAAACAGTTTGAGTTCAGTTGGATAACCATATTTGGTAAATAGTTTCACCATATAATTTCTGACATAATTTACAGGTTTCTACTCAGGATTATCTTTATAGAACAATGTATAAGGAGAGCTCTGGAGATAGCAAAACTGGCACGATACAGAGCTCTATAATCTCTTTAAGGAAATGTTTCTAGGAGAGGGTAGTGAAATCACAAGAAGACCATTGTAGAACCTAATACACATTGTCAATGCATAAATGAGTTGTAGTGTGTAAAGAAGAAAAGGGAAGTGTGTACATTTCATTTGTAATGTGTAAATATTTTCATGTTTAATGCCATTTTCAATCTCTCCCTAAGCAAACTTCCAATAAGCAACTGAGATTTCTTACTTGCTCATTGTTAAATAAATTACTTATGGATTGAGACAGTAAGATGGCAGTCACACATAAATATGTTTTCTGAAGCTTCTGATGAAAAAAGTGGGAATAATTACCAAAAAAAAGTGTGGTGTTGGATTTGTTAAAATCCTGTGTTGTTTAGATTTAGGTGTTTTAGTTTTTACAGAAAAAGATGACTCAACAGGGATCATGATGGGGATTTCTTGGACAGTAGAAACCAATAAAAATCCCCCAAAACTTTAGAGAAGCATTCTCTTTGCTTTTAGTAATTCTTCTATTGAGGGTATTAGCATAGCAGTTAATCTTATCTAAAAGCGTAAGAAGCTTAAGGTAAGTAAAATTGTTTGTCTGAATCTAAATATTTCCGTATCTTTCAAGAATAAGTAAGTAATTTATACAACATAAATTTTACGGATGCCATTTTTTATTTAAACATCTAGAAGATATCTGCACTGTGCTTAGGAAAATTTATTACTATGTGATTTTTTTGTAATTTTTTTTTCTGTAAGAACTTTTGTTGTATTCCTAAATATGTTAGTACAACTAATAGCTTGGCATGCGTTCTGACTTGCAGCATAGTTAAGACAGGTAATAACATATGTCCAAATTATACTGTCTGGGCAAAAATAACCCAAATAATGAACCTTGTTTTCAGGCTAGTCTTTCAGGTGCTCTACCAGACTTAAAATGAAATTACATGGTTTAGTATAAATCCAGTGACTCTCCCTTTCTCAGTTGAACATGAAGTACATTTCTTAGTTGTTTTCTCCTTTCTTCTTGATAAAAGGCACGAAACCCAGCATAGAAACCTTCATTACAAGTGTTCCTTTCTGTGATCTTTGGCATCATCACTGCACGTATCACTTCAAAGTTGATGATGTCTTCTCCATAATTTTCTTGGTGTCTTCCAATCATGCCACTGCATTTTTTGGTCTTTATTTAATAAATGCGGTGGTTTCTCTGTATCTGAGAATGGGGTAGCCATTTCATGGGTCTGAGACTGAAAGGAGGCTTTCCTTAATAGCCTTGTTCCTTAACATTTTCCATCCACAGGGTTCTGCGTAGCAATTTTTCCAGAGACAATATGGTCATGGCCATGATGAGTAGTAGGATGTCCTTGTAGATGGAAGTAGACTCACTTTTAGTTTTTTAAGAAGACTGTGATAAATAGAACAAAGCAGAAGGTCATAGATTGTTTTCAAGTAATACATGCAGAGAAATGAAATTTATTTTCTTTACAGAAGATAGTTATCAAGTTTTGAACAGGGAGAACAGCAGCATTGGTTTCTTTGATTCTCTGGCTTTCAGGACTAAATACTGATGCTGTAGAAGGAAGAGAATGACATGGTGATGGTGCCCAAGTAAAGAAAAGGAGAATGGACATAAGTGTCCTGTGAATTGTCTAAGCCCCAGCTCCCTAATAATGATGTTAATAAGGTCAGGAGTTTTTTACTATGAGGTTATTGACAAAGTACGGTGTACTGAAATTATTTTGTAATGATGAATTAAATATGTAGAACTGAATGATAGCCTAGCTATCAAAAACAGTACAAAGTACAGGATTCAAAACTGGACAGTTCAGCAGTTCAGGATAGGAATCTGTAATTAGTAGGCACTTTTTTTTTCAGTGACTGGCCTTTTTTCTCTGGCTGCTCACTTCTTCATGTGTACAATAATGGTTTGCAACTAGGGATTTTTGGGGGAGGTAGCAAGAGGAGCAGTTGGTTTTTTAATGCAGGCATTGCTATCCAGTGAATTTTCCACTGAGCAAGTTTAACGATCATTTTTAATTTGAACATATTCTTTATTAATGTGGAAAGGTGGAAAATATTTTCATCGTTTTTACTCTCTACCACAATTACTATAAAGAAAAAAAGACAGTCTTTTATTCCTTGGTAGAATGTTGATGAAATGAGGGTGGATGTCACATGGTTGTATGACTCGAATTAATTTAATTGTGTGGGTTGACAACTCAATGAGAGAGATGATGGATAAATTAATGTATACTTTATAATATATATATATATACACACACACTTTATGAATGTATACTTTATAAAATATAACCACTTCCTGGTTTTGCAATCATCCTGGGTTTGGTTGGGATAGAGTTAATTTTCTTCTTAGTAGTGTTTGGGTTTAGAGTGAGAATAATGTTGATTAACACCCTGGTGTTTCAGCTGCTGCTGGGTAGTGCATACCCTAAATCGAGAACTTTTCAGCTTCCTCTGCTTTGCCAGTGAGGAAGTGCATAAGAAGCCATGAGGCAGCAAAACCAGGAGATGGCCCAAACTGGCTGAAGGGGTATTCCATACCCTAAACTCATGTCCAGTAAACTGGGGGGAGCTGGGTGGGAGCTGCTCCTAGAGCTTGAGGGCAGGCTGGACATCAGCCAGCGGGTGGTGACCAATGTTGAATTGTGTATCACTTGCCTGTTTTGGGGTTTATGTCTCTTTTTTTTTTTGTAGTCTCGTTTTTGTTACAGTTGTTTTTGTTATCATTATTATTACAATATTTTAATTTTATTCTGTTTTATCCATTTTTCCCCAGTTCTCCTCCCCAGCCCACTGTGTGGTGGGGAGTGATTGAGCAACTGCATGTTACTTAGTTGCTGACTGGGATTAAACTACAACAGCATGATACTGTCTATGTTTATGAATTGCAGCCCAGAGGAAAATTAAAAATAATTTTGTTCTTCGTGTCTACAGTGCTCAGCATTGTATTTTACTGTATTCAGAATCTGTGTTTGAGGAACAACTGTTTACTGACAACAAATACTACTCACATTATCTCTTTTGTGAGTATTATTATCATTATTTTAAATATGTGTTAGTTGTGCCATATTCATCTTGTTCCTGATAATTAAGCTGCATTCAAGGGTAATACTGTCTCTTTTTGGAGGTTTTTATGAGGTAATAACATATAGGAATCATTAACCCAAATGTAATCGAGGCCTGAAACTGTGACAGCTGAGAAAGTATTGTGTGTTTTTAGTGATATGAAGACTGTCTTCAGTTTAAAAGTAAGCTGCTAACAGATGTTTAGAACACTCTTCTTTTTCATTAACAATGTGAGTCAAACCTTGAATAGTTGACTAGGAAAACAACTTCCTGCTAGGCCAGTGGTATCAAAAATTTATTATGCCATGTTTGCTAGGCTCTTGGGTTACACTGGGCCACTCTTAACAATTCTGAGTGCTAAATAAGCTTCCCTAAATTTTTTTAATGTAATGCTGGGGGAAAGAACCTAAAAGGGTTTACATTACACCAAATTTAGATGCCCTTTTTTTTTTGTCTGACAGTGAAATTCCGTCCTACCCCTTGACAATCTTTATCAACTTAAATCATTCGAGTAAGAAATGAGAGGAAATGTATATGAGAGGCTAGATTCACAAAACTAATGGCAAAGAAGAGATCTTCCTCCTCACTGAAGTTTTACCTCCGGGTTTAAATCACCAAAACTGCACAAGGAAGTTGTTATTCTTTTCCTCAGGACGTGTGAATTTAATCCTTTAATACAAATTAGTGTCCTAGCTACCAACAGGTAAGTGTTCTAAGATCTCTTTTTTTGATACTGCTTTATCTTGCCTAATTAATAATGCTAGGAAAGCTCAGTAGGTCAGTGAACTTCAGCATTAGATTGCAGCATTATTAGTGTTTTATACAAATAAAATAGTTTCACAAAAAGGAATGTGAAAGACTCAAATCAGAATTTTATATAACATTTTAGTGACTATAAAACTTATATATCAGATGGGGAACTTCTCCGAGTTCACTTTCTATTTAATTTACGAACAAGTATTAGAGTCCAGATCGCACAGGGGATGTAAATAATGTGATTTCAAAGATACCATCGAATTTAAACCCATTTACTCCAGCAGAAAACCAAGGCTTGTATGCATGATAAAGTACAACTATAAAAGATCAAATTGAAAAATACCATTTTTTTTTAACTCCTGCTTACATGAAGAATGGAACAATAATTCAAAATTATGTTTTGTTTATTAACTTGTCTATTTAAAGTAACATTTTTTATAACTTTGCCCTTTTTTTTTTTTTAACAGCACCTTCAGGCTTGAAGGAATATCTATATTTGGAGGCACGTCAATTAATTTGCATATCAGATTCATCATTGTGACTTCTTGCAGGCGAGATCTGAGAAGTAACCAGGAAACCTGACCCTTAGTGGAGAATGGAAAAACCCTCGAAGTCAGAGCACAACTGATCACTAGTGTAATCTGCATTGAATCATCTTTCTCAGATCTGACAGCTACAAGCTGAGTCCTGGCAAAAGCCACAGCCTTAAATTTCATTTAGTGAGAAAGAAGAATAAGAGAACTCAGTGTCTTGCCCCATTGCAGAAACTGCTGTCTCCAAGCCTGACACCTGAGTTCTGTGCTGAGCAACCAGAGTACCAAACAACGAGTTTTTTATGGGTACAGCCAGCGTCAACAAATACTTCAATATGTAGCCAAAAGGAGAAACGAAGCACTTAGGTAATTTCAGAAAACGGATACATTTATTGTAACAGAGGAATGTTACTGTCTGTGGGGAAGAAGACCTTTGTCATCCCTTGTATATATTCAAAGCCATACAGGAGCAGGGCATAAGTGAAGTTCAGTCACTTAAAAGGATGCTGTCTCCTGTCCTCCACCCAACTTTGAGGAAGTTCGCTCTTAGAGATTGCATCTCGATGCACTTCTATTATTTGCACTGTCACTTCCATTCAGGGTAATGATGTGTGCCACCATTTGCACAGATGGCCCCAGGAGATTTTAGACCACAACAAGCTATATTTTGCCAGGGCTCCAAAAGGAATTAAAAAGCTAGAACTGAAGAAAGACATTTATGCTCTCTTTCACTATGGGGATCTCTTCACAGAAAGGACTATGGTCCTTTCTTAGGATGAAATAAATACATGCATATACATACATATATACATATGTATATATATGAAAAAGCAGCAACGTGATAAGGTGTATTTAAAAAGGGGATATAATCTTTTTTAATAGCATCCTTTTTTTTAATCATATTAGCAGCCGAGAAATTTAGTCTGTTGAATTATGCATCAAAAAATATTCCTATTGAACATTGACATTTAGTCCCAATTACTGCTAAAGAAGTCATTTGTAATATGTACTTGACATAAAATTTTTCTAGCCATTTGTCTATATTTCATGGAGAAATCTAACAGACAAGCAACATTTTCAGTTTATTTTTCTAAATAAATGTGTTGTTTGTATTATTTGCAGTCACTCATTTTGGCTGGTTTTCATTATCTCCAAAAGTGATTTAAAGACAGAACCAAAACACAGGGATTGTTTTTCTTGTTAAGCTGTAATGATTTGCTGAATGAAAGCTTTAATATAAATACTGTAATTTGTAAAATGATGAAGTATATTTATATAGGCAAATATGTATGGAAAACAAAAGGAGGTATTTTAACTCTTAATTTCAGAACATAGTTTATTTTAATATCCACAGGAAGAAATTAAATATATAATGGGATAGGGTTTTTATTATCAGTGAGTTTTAGTAAGTGAAAACTTGGATGTTTAAGAATGAAATGAATGTAGTCAAATAATGGTGGTTTCCCAAATTATACAGAGACCTTCTGCCGGCTGTCTCATTTACCCAAAAACTGGTTTAGTCATTTGAGGGGTTGTGATATTCTGGGGGGTGTGTGTGCGCTAAGGTTTATGTTTGGTGTTTTGTTTGTTTTGGCATACTGACAAGACCATGAATTTGATACTATTTGCTCATAATTTGAAAAGCTACAGAATAAAAGATTGTTTCTTAGAACAATCTACAGTTTGGAGTTGAGAACAGTCATTTTTATCCATCTCATGCAGTGTTTTGTTGTAGAATTATTGAACATTTCAATGCTAGAGCTGTTTCGAATAAATTTTTTTTCCTTTTTTTTCTTAGTCCATTAGCCTGTGTGTAATTTGAAGAGAAAAGTAATGCATTTGGTTCCCAGTTCACTTAAATCATTCCTCTTAAATCCAGTTATATGTATCTGATTTATAAAGCTGAATAGGCATTTCTTTCTGTTCATTGCTTTATGGAAGCATTAAAGTGCTCACTAACAGAAAAAGTACCTTTTAACAACAAAAGTAATTTTAAAAGGTCTGTGGGTTAACTTTGTGAAGGGCAGATATCTTAAAAATGTGTTGCTCTGCTCTAATGTGCTAACAAGTGTTATGCGTGTATGTTTGTGTGTGTGTGTGCACGCATGGCACCCTTACCTGCTCATGAATGAAATGCCAACTCTGCTGAAGTAAGTGCCACAAGTCCTGTTACTGCAAAAGATGCTCATGTTACTGTATTTTTTGGTGAAAGACCTGAGCTCTGTCTTTGCTTGTGACTAAAGCCATAAACAGCTTTTGAAGTTTGTCAGGAAATTGGAAAATTAAGTAAGTTTATGTTGAGCTCCCTCATTTGGCAAAAATTGGGATGATCTTATGATTTGACTCTTCTTATGAAAGTTAGTGGTCAATTTCTTTTGGTGCAATGGATAAATGAAACCTTTGTATTTGTTAAAGAAGGATGGCTGTGTTTTGTTCACACACAATTTAGCTTTTGGCTTATAGTGTTCTTACTGTGATGTCATTTCTGTGTCATTAGAATACATTATTTGGACACACAACTGGCATGGGCTTGGTTTTCCTCCCTGTCTGGATAATTTATATTTTAAAATTGGAGAGCTTGTTCTTTGAGACGAGTATTCAGTTGTTTAAGAAGGGGACAACATTATTGAAACAATAAGAAAATTTCAGAATGATAATTTGAACACTTCCATCATTGCCTAATAATAACACTTGAAAAAGCTCTTATTTTTGTGAACAAAATGCATTCATCTGTATTTGAAAATAGCCCAATAAAAATCCAGTGGAATAATTTGTTACTACTTGCAAATACTTTTCTGCCGTGCTGAGTTCTTGATCAGCTTGTGTGTAAAATTTTTGTTGCACAAAACCCACCTGAAACAATGCACAGTTTTCTTCAGGAAAATACATGGGATATGAAAAATAATGACTTGGTCCCAGGAGTGGTTTTATGTAATGTGTGCAATGCAAAAATGATGAACATATATACCAACGTGAAGACCTATTTAAGTGATAAATGTAGTTGGAAGATAACACTGCAAACCACAGGTCTCATTAATCACATGCTGTTATATTTGCACCTCTGCTTAACTGGGACTTCTTGCTGGAAAGTAAATTTCAGTGTGTGTGCACACTCATACAATGTCATGTATCATGTCTTATTTTACTGCTAGTGTCATTGAGAAAAATCCAAATGGCTTGATTTTCATAGATTTAAATTAAATCTTTAGGTAAGTTTTTAGTATTGGATATAAATTGCAATGATGTCTCTATATTGTGCAGGTACTCCCATGAGACAGCATTTCAACACACAATTTCAGAAAATGTTGGGAAATAATTAGCACAGAAATGCCTTTTTATAGTTTAAAACCAGAGGAGACAATTAGATTGTCTCATTGAACAGTGTAAAAACTGTTTTATTTCCATTATGTTCATCCAAGCATACTGACAAGACCAGCAGAACTTTTTCAACTAAGGTGGCTTTACAGCGACTGCTGGGTCATTTTGTAGGTTTATGTGCCTGTCATGCATATAAGAAATGCCTGCAGAAATAGTTCTAGAGTAATAGTGCATTGTTTCATTAGCTGGCATCTGAAAAGCCACCTGAAGCAGCCAATAGGTTTGAAAGGATGAGGTATGCAAAACAAAATGCTGACAGTTCTGGACATGTCTACCAGACATAATTTCAGTACTTGAATTTTTTAAAAGACAAGGATCACCATCATTCATGAGAAAAATTGGGATATGGTAAAATAGCTCTTCTGCACAGTGGAAGAAAAAGATTACAAAAACCTGGTGATCACCAGGGTGTTCTAAAAGTATCCCTCTCCTGGCAGTTGCCCCAAGTGTCACATGTGAATATCCCCAAGGGACAGGTTGTTTTTCTCCGATCAGTGATGTGCTGGGTACACAGCAAGGCAGTGATGCCTTCAGTCAAACCTGACCAGCAGGCAGTGGGAGGCTGTTGTCTAAGGAGGGATGGAGGAAGGACAGCATCACTCTGCCCCAAGGGAGGAGGCTGTCACTGAGACTGGATTTTAGAAGGAATCCTAAAGGACTGATGGGACTAAATCAATGATTTCCATGGTCTGGACTGTTGAAGATGCCATGAGAGAGGAAGCCAAAGCCAAGTGGATGTTGTTCAAATTAGTTCTCTCTCCAGATTCAGTATCTTTGCAGAGCTGCCAGGAAGCCATGAAAACTCCCCACAGTTGGGCTGAACTTCAGAAAAGACAATTATAAACAAGGAGTCCTGTACGGGAAAATCTGGAATGAATACTAAGAGGGTTATGGCAGATGGCACAGAGACTATTTAAGGTATTATTGAAGGCAGAGACCAAATACATTCTGCTTAGCTAGAAAGGCTTGAGAAAGGGTAAAAGGGATACCGCATGGTGAATCAGCAGGGTATCAGAGGCTACAGAGGGAAAGACATCCTTCAGACAGCTGAAGGTGTTTAAAGAAAAATGTAAATGTAAAATAAATGTAAGACTAAAAACAAATTTAAAAAAACTAAGCCAAACAACAAGCCCAGACCAACATTAATCAAAACAATTCTAAGATATTATGAGATTTTTCGACTAAAATAGTTGAAAGAAACAAGAAATTCTGTTTCTACAACAAAGCAGAGGGAGGTCTGAGAGACTGTCTAATGCTGAAAGATAATCAAGGTAAACAAAAGCACTTAGAAGAAGAAGCTGTAGGAACAAAATTGTCATAACGTTATTATTCTGCTCATGCTATGGAACGACTTTGGTAGATTCTCACACATGAATCTTTCTGTGGGGAAGCTCACATGAAGTCATAGTTTGTCAGTTTGAGGTGGTACATAACAAAACGAAGGGGTATACACCTAAGATTTTTAAAGACACTCAGGGATGAAATAGCCAAATGCTACCTGTGGTGTAAAATTCATTGTTTAAAGCTCTTTTGATAGCTTTTCAGATGTGAGGTTACAATTCTGTTGCCAGTTTTAGATTGAAAGAGTATGAGCTATTAAATCAGTATGGGGCAAAAGGGTTCAAACTATGATAATATTTTTATAAAAAAAGAGCTGGAACGCATCTAATGGTGTTGATATTACCGAACACCACAGGAAATTGCCCAGATGGCCAGGAGAAAACACAGAGGAAACTGCAGCTGGCTAGGAGGAAAAGTTTCTGCGTTCATAAGAAGATGTAAAATATTGGACAAAATAGTGATTTTTGTGTCAGTTTTCACAGGCGATAGAGGCCAAGAGTGAAGTTCCAGGGGACATAAACTGTGATCCATATATCTCAAAATATATTTGAACGTGTGAATATGCTGGAAAAGTAGTGTATAATTATTTGGTAAGTTTGGTGGTCATACTAAGTTATTAAAGGTGTTAAATAGGAGTTGCCTGAATGACTAGTTATTAAAATTTAAATTCAATGAAGATAAATGTAAACTGATAATGAGCAGTTAAATGTTCCATATGAAAATGTTGGTCTTGTGCCTAGGAGGTCAGAAAAAAATGCAAGTGTGCAGTTAACAATTATTAGGAAAGCAGCAGAGAAAACAAGTGAACATTAAAAACATCATTCTATCAATCAATAGATATGCAGTAGCCTAATATGATATTTAAGTTTTTAAATACTTACCCAGTTTCTTGACTGGAAAACAAATGAAGAAACAAGAATGTGATGAAACTGAAAAAGCTTCTGAGAATGAATGAAAAGTAGAAAAATAAAAGGGTAAAATTAGGTTCTGTCTGTGAGTGACAGCAGGCAACAATTATTCTGCTCAGCAGAGGTGTGAGAGAGAAGTAGAGTGACATGAATGAATCATGAATGACATCAAGTGTGCAGTAGCAGGGGACATCAAACAAATCTAGCCACTGGGAAGCTCAAAAATAACACAAAAGTGTTTATGTAAGAAATGTGGAGAGAAACTGTGGAACTCTTTCATTCAAAACATTGCATATGCTGAAAGTTTATGGGAACTTTATGGGGGCTGTGAGGAGAAAAATAAAAATAGTAATTGAGAGTTGCTAAATGAACTGATCCTGATTTTGCCTCAGTGAAGACCCATTGGTATCAGAGCGAGTATCATGAAGATGGATTTCTACATATGTGTTCTGGATCACTGTCAGCTGCTTTTGTGGCTCACATATGCCGTTTACATAAACTGAAAACAGGGAGCAGAAAATTCTGCTTTTGCAATGTGTTCTGTGTACTTTATAGAGGTACAAACAAATTAGCAAAACCAGACCGGAGTTTTCCTGTGGAGAACATACAAAAAAAAAATCCTTAAGACAGGTAAGGAACGATGTTCTGGAAGTTATGTCATTATTAAAAATTCACCTGTTCAGTAATGTGTTACATTGAGGTTTATGTACTGAGATTTAAATAGGCATGTGTTGTTATTAAGAAGACTAATGTCAAGCAAGAGGTTCATGTTTCAGTAAGTAAAACATCTCAAATTAAAAAAACCTGCAGTCTTTTGATTAGTGCTGATTACATATTTTTTTAAAATTAACATATGTATCTATTTATTTGTTTCCTTAACTTTATCACTGAAATAAATATCCTTTACCAGTAAATATAGTCTCATTGCAAGTTGTGAGTGGAAACCACCTGGATAATCAGAATGAAAGGTTTGAATTTGAGAATATGAGCTCCATGATGATCAGACAAACTCCCTTTGAATTACCTACATTTGAATAGCTGGAGAGTTTTTACACACTTCCACAAAACTTACAGCATTTGGGCATATGACAAATCCTTTATTGATAGTGAAGACTTTGACACTTTATTTTGTTGGAGAGATTAATACCTATAATGTATTACTAGAAGACCCAGTCAATAGGATTTCAAACTTGAAAATTAAATTACT